GTCGCTCCATCAGACCGTTCTGGGGATGCAGAAGAACCTGCAGCCAAAGGACCTGCAGTTGAAGATGAGGAGGATGCTGAGGCGCTGCCATTAGCCTCAATTGTTGGGGCTGGGGCTGATGCTCGCCCAGAAGAGGAATTGAAAGAGCTAGAGCCAATCAGGCCAGCTGAGCAGCGCCCGCGGAAGCCTCGTGGACGAGGAAAGGGACGAGGGCGTGGACGTGGTCGCGGCAAGAAAGCCGCTGAAGAAGAGTCTGAAGAAGATACAGGTGGAGCTTCAGCCTCCACCGCAAATCCGAAAGCCAAGCTCAAGAACCACACCCAGAAGTCTGCAAAGGTCAAAAGCAACAAGGCTATTGACACTGATCCTTCAGGCCATGAAGCTCCAGGTAAGAAGAACAAGAGAGCCAAGCATGCATCTACTTCTGAGGTGCCTGCCAAAAGAAGCCGCCGGAAGAGCCAAGCGAGTGACAAGAAGACCCCTGAGAAGAAGGCACCTTCGGAAACAAAAGGTCCTGGGTCTAGGAAGGGCCGAAGGGTCAGTGTCTCTGAGACTGAAGGCTCTGAGAGAAAGAGGTTGAAGGCATCTCCTGGTGAAGCGAGCTCTTCTTCCAAGCCTGATGGTGGCAAGCGGACATCGAAGAGGATGCCTGCCAAGAATGCAGCTGTTCCTGAAGCTACAACTTCCGAAGCACCAGCACGGAAAGAGAAGGATGCCTCAATGGAGGCAAATGAAGGTGCCACGGACGAGAACCCGAAAGAGCTTTCAGAAAAGGAGATTCGGAAGAAGGCTCAGAGTCGTAAGAGCAGCGCATATCACGCCGCCAAAAAGAAGGCTTTGAAGGATGGACGCACGATGGAAGCCGCCATTGAGATTGCCAAGCGTGCAGCTTGGTTTGCAAATAAACTTGCATGATGACTTCGACCCAAAAACACAAAATCACTTTTCTCTGAGGCATACCGCAACGCAGCCTGACGGGGAGGAGCTTCAGGATGAGAAAACCGCGCGTGTTAGCAGTTCGATCTTTAGATCCCAGCAACTTGTTAACGAAACAGTGGTACTTCTTTTTTATGTCGATCTGCATGTGATCATGGACAGGCGTGCGATGTCCCAATGGATGTTGAGAGCGATGGCAGCTGGTCATGCTGGCTCAATTCTGCACTGCACAGCCTGCGCTGTACTTTACTGCGAGCCAAGTCTACACTGCTATTTTGTGTGCGTGCAAGAAATTTTTTAAACCATAGAAGCCACCTCATTCGCTAGCCAGTGAGGATCAATACCACATAGCTAGTGTGAAGGGTGTTTTGAGCAATGACTTGGTGCCCTGTCGCCAACCTACAGCATGTGCAAGCACCAAAGGCGAGTCCGATAGATGTAATTAGGGTGAGATGCTGTGTGTATAGATCGACTTAAATTCATGAACCAAACATGATGTGATTGCACACAGGTGCTCATTGCTTTGGCCTGGGTCTTATGACACGTATACATGCATGCTATCATGCTGGTTTTCCTGCGCCCTCCCAGGTTTTGCTCGCAGGATGGATGCACATAGATCCTCTTGAACCCTTTGACTTTGTGGAAATATTTAGTGGTCGCCAAGCTGTGACCCGAGTTATGTACGGAACACAGTCTACATGTCAAAGTGGTGCCTCCCCTTTTCACCGGTAGAGTGAGCCCTCAGTTTTTTTCATGCATAGGCATCAAGCTGGATATCGCTGCGCAAGCTACGACCGAGACATTGGTGGTGATTCGATGGACTTTTGTAAGCCAGCTGGATACTTGAGACTTAGCTAATGGCCAGCTTTTGATTCTTAACGCAAGAGCTAGCGCACCGCCGTGGCCCTTTACCGTCCTTCCAAGGGTAGCGCTGATGGCGTGCATGACCATGCCCATCAACGCTCTGGCACTTTTTGCGCCTGACTGCTCAAGCTGGGGAGTGCCAGCCCGTGGAAGTTCATGGCGGAGTGCAATCAATGTCTTTGGTAATATTTTTTCACGATGGGTCCAAGATTCAACGTGCATGGTGGCAAGGAAACATGCCACTACTTATTAAGTCATCTTCAATCATGCACTTGACCGCACATTACTTCAAGAGAAAACACATCGACCCATGAACCAAGGACAGTATTGCTGATACTGGTTATTACATCCAGGAATGCCCTGTGGGTCTTAGAACAACCTCAGGGATCCCTTCTTGAGAAGTTCAGAAGGTTTGACTGGTTGATCAACCATGTTCTCTTCGCCACTCGCCTACAAAATCCTACAAGCAAAGTCCCTGCATATTCAGGGTTGAGTATATATATATTGACACCTCCTCCGCCATGTCTGAGGCTTTCCGAGTAAGATTTTGGATGATGCTCCATGGAGCCAAGAGTGCCAAGCCCACCCTAACTTACAGCAACATGGAAGAAATAGAGATGCTCGACCTCGGGGTTCTCACCAAGTCTGAAAAGGAAAAGCGAACAGAAGTTGCTTTGGTTAGAAGCTTTGTGGCATCTATAGCCACCATTTCAATCGTAATCACATTTCGCAAACCGTCCAGTAAATTAGAATACATGGCTCGACCTACTACAGCCCTAAGGAAGATATATCGACAAGCAAGGGCGCCAACGTTGGTGTGGAACAGACCAGTTACGGGGAAGTCAGTTACTTTGAATGCATATATAGTGCACGTTGGAAACCCATTCATATAAACCCGTTTGACCCTTCACATCGTCAGGTGCTATCCGGAAGGGTTTGGACACAACCTTCGACGCGCCTGGGAGTCCCACGTTACCTCAATGCCTGCCCGACGGGAGCTTCGTTTTAAGCCCCAGCCCTTCAAAGGTTTGACACCGCTGCAGCAGTTTGAGAAAATGGAGATGGGGGACCTTTGGGAAGATGCCCGCTTGTGGGAACCTCTACAGTACATGATGACGTCAAACCGGTGCAGGAAGGGACTCAACAGTTTCTCTTCCAAACTACCTGTATGCCTTGAATATGCATGCGCAGGGGTTGTGTTGTTCAAAACAGCTGGTCATTGTAGCCCCTGTGGAAGGATTCCAGAGATGTGGCAAAGTGCTATCCAAACATTTTGGAAGGAATACCAAGAGCAGGCCTGTAAGATTCTTTCATGGCCGTATTTCCAAACAGTACTCTTCTATCATTGGTGATGTGATGTTGCTTTCCAACAAGTTGGCCATCCAATCCCTTCTGTCTTCCAAAGTGCATGATTGTTGTAGCACCTGCAGGTCTTGGTGAAGAGCGAGATTCAGGAAGAGATTCAACGCATCATCAACGATGCCCAGCATGCTGAGAGCTGTTCAGGCAGCCCTGATGACTAGCCGTTTGTGGTAGAGTTCAACAAACTGTGCCAACACACCCTCCCTATACCGTATATCTAGATGCACTTTGTACAATATATACCTACAATACCTCGATCTACAGTACACCACGAGCACTTTTCTTGTCGGGGGAGGGTTTGTTGGAAAATTCGTAATTCTAGTGGGAAAAACAACGCGCAATTCCGAGCGCAAAAAACCGCAAACGAACGCAAATAGCCGCAAACGAGCGCAATTCTCATTTCTGCTCTTTTTGCTATAGAACGCTTGATGTTACTCGAGCACTTTTCTGCTATAGAACTTTTGATGTTACTCGAGCACTGTTCTGGTTCAGGAGTCCTTGTAGTCATGGACGCAAAGCTTTCTTCTAGTAGCACTCTACTTGAAGGCATGGCACAGGTTTCGTTTGATGGTGAGCCCGGGGCCTCATCTCGTAAGCGTGAGCTGGAGCAGAAGATCCAGGCCATCCTGGCAGAATGGAGTGATGCATACATGCAAGTTCATGCGCTGTTTTGGTCTCTCTTGTGGTCCTTGTGGTGTTCATGTATATGTTGCAACTAGTGCACAACACTCCCACACATATAGCAACGTCGCACAAGGCCAGCCGAGAGCGGATTGAAGCTTTGCGGCGAAGAATGTCCAAGCAGGCAAACCTAGATCGCCCTGACGGCACACCAGGTGCACCCCATGTTGCCCAACAGTCTGGTCGCTACAGCGCAGGTAATTGTTCTGAAGCGGCCCCGGTTTCTTTTGCAGAGACTGTTCCGGAAACTGTTCCAGTCACGCTTGTGGAAGAATCCCAGGACATGGCACCGCCCCAGTCCCTTGCAAAGCCTGTCGAACCTGTCTTTGAATCACAACCAGAGAGTCAAGAGTGGCCACCTTCAGGGCGGTATAACTTCAACGAGAGTACTATTCTTACCGGTCGAAGGACCCCAGAGAAACACCCTCTTCAGCAAGCACAGCAGCCTGAGCCTCATCCCCTTAGCCAGTTGGCTCCCCCAGCCGGTACTCCACCGGCTTCAATCCCTGCTCCAAGCCCAGCAACGGTCCCAGCAACGGTCATTCCCGAAGAAGAGCTAGACTCTGTGTCTGTGGTATCAACTGCGGCATCATCGGTGAATGAGAAGAATGTCTATTGGAAGCCACTAGGTAGCAATCTCTACAGCGTACAGCATATGGTATACGCATGCATAAAAGCGCTGTAATGTTCGCAAGCATTTCGTGCTGCGGGGGGGGGTTGCACACATGGCTGAGGATGCACCGTTACTTCACGCCAAAAGTTGATGGAGAGTTGAAATGCTCCCCTGAAGCTCTTAAGATGTGGAAAGACAAGAAAGGCCGTGCTTTGGTGGCTTTAAAAAAATGGACCTGCACATGTACAAACTCTCTATGAAATGTTGGGTCTGCTTTTCGGGTTTGAGGTCAGGAGTTGAAGAAAATGTTTCTTCAACATGGATCTTTCCAGATGATGGAGATCCGCATCAAGAAGCGCCATGTTGATAGCAGTTCTACCACAAAGTCAGGTGGGTGGTACACCAAATCGCAGCTGGAGCTTCAGCACGGATGGACTAAGACCAAACCTTAGCTTCTAGAAATGAAGGGATTGGCAGGTACCATTCCAAAGGCATGATATCTGTAGATCGAATTGAAATCGCAAAATGACCTCTAAGGCAAATGATCAACCGGGCTTTTGCATGGGCAGAGAAGAACGGGAAGTACAGGGTGAACCCTATCCATGGGGAGCCTGAAGCATTCTTGGTTTTGAACGAAGGCTTTTGCTTGACTTCAACCGACACAGAGGAAACAGACCGTTCAGGCAATATTGCTGTCCAGGACCATTTATCAAAACTGCTACCTGCAGCTATATATATACCCAAGCTTTGAGGGCCCTGTGGTAAGAAGAGTTTGCTTCTTCCTTCCAGGATGAGGCCGGGACCCTCTTTGACAGTGAGTTGCCCGACATCGGCGCGGACCACGAGGCCTTGTTGGCATACCAGCAAGGAGACCGCTCTGCCTTGAAAGGAGATGGGAGCAATGGCGATCCGTCGGTCTCGGTGGGGAATACCTCCGGAGTCATGAGCTTTAAGAAACTCGGTCACTGTTTCTCGCTGTAATTTGATATCCAAACTTGTAACCGATCCCCGAAACTAACACACCCAATATCCTCCAATGCATTCTTTCTTTCACGTTTTGAAACAATCAGTACGTAAGACTGCGTTCTGCCTACCCTAACCCTTGCAAACGCAAGTAGAAGCTGTGGGATAGGATCGTTGAAGGTTTCTGATATTCGGTACGTGCTATACTATCGATATCTATCGATGAGTTCTTTGAGGCACATGACACATGACACATGCTAGCTATGGGATTGTTCAACCAAATATAGAACCCCCCTCACAAACCTTCCCGCCAAGGATGACATTCCCAAGTGTGGGGAATGGATCGGTGTTGCTGGTTCTGCCGCAGTTTGTGGAGGTTCTGGGCAAAAAGATTGACAAAATCTCCGATGAAGTGGACCGCAAACATGCAGCCTTTTCCTCATTATGTAAGCCGTGTTCATGTCCTTGCCACAAGTTTTGTGGCAGGATCGAGTGAAGCGTATTAATTCTCAGCAAGCCAAATCGTTTCCTGGCCAAATCGTTTGTAAATATGGTTCATGCGTTTTCGAAACAATTTTTCTACAGATCAGCTCCAAGGTTGGTGGGCCTCATGGAGAACCAGCTCAAGAAGATGCAGGGCCTGTACGACACGTTGGCTGACCAAATGTCCGAAAGTACCGTTCGACCTGAGAGCTTGGACAAGTTCCTTGACCAAAATGGTGGGGTGATGATCAGTGCCCTCTAGACCATGCAACTTGATCCCCAATGGACGACATAGCGAATAGAATAGGCCATACATATATATGATTTTGCTTTATAATGGGTGTCTCAACGATATTCACCACCTGCACCCATTTGGCTGCCGGACTCGGACCTGCTTGGTAGATATCAGCCTTGGCAGGTCACAGCGAGACGCCATTCAGCAGAACTACGTCATGTGCACCAAGATAGATGTGGCCATGAACAGTTTGTTGCAGCGCAGCAAGTGCCTTCGTTTGAATCCATAGAGGATGATGTGTGCACATACAGCTATAGTTTTATGTGTTCTTTTGACTTTGCGCACCTCGTGTGGATCAGTGGCTGAATGGGAGATAATGGGAGATTGCATCGCACTGAGGGGGATGAAGTCATCTTCAGCATCAACTGCCCCTTCCGGGACAAACAGGACAACTGAGCGAGGGTCCAAGGGAAAACCGAAACCGAAGAAATCTCCGAAGGCTCCGAAGGCTCCGAAAGGCAAGGCTGCTCCTAAAGGAAAGGCCAAGCAAGAAGCCACTCAGGAGCCTTGATCTTTTTGCTTTTCTTTGCCCAATGTGCGAACTCCGCACGGTGGGTCATCTTGTGACGTTGGCAATGATGCCACATCGTTTGTGAACCAATTGCGCCGATCTATAGCTTTTGTTCTGGAAGCTGTTGGTAAGCTCAATCCTTTTCACAGTGGGGAGCATCAAGTTTGCCGCGTGTGGGGACACAGTTGTTGCTACAAAGGCAGCAACAAATAATTTGATGGACCAGGGTTGGTACGTTTCGAAGAACACTCTTGGGAAAAATATCGCTAGCCGAGATTAACCTACAGGTGTGCATGCTTATATAATCTGATGGACCAGGGTTGGCAGTTGGCACGTTTCAAAGAACACTCTTTCGAAAAATATGGCTAGCCGAGATCAATATGCGCCGGCGTGCATGCGCCTTTGTGCCAGGTCATCGCGATGATGACTACCACCGTGGACCCTTAGCTTGGCTTATGTCGACATAGCGCACGTCTCTTCAAACTTTCAAGTTGTACAGCGATCTTTGCACTACTCAGGAATGGATGACGAACCCTCGAGCTCAGAAGCTGGAGACCTTTGCACTGGACTTGTTAACAGCTTCGGCAGGGGGGTTTCATGTCAGCATTTAACACGGGCATTGAGAGTTTTTGTGCAGAACACGCATGATCTACTAGCTGATCTATTTCATGAGTTGTTCAGTTCAGGCTTCTGCCCAAGACACCCTGGAACAGATCAACCGGACCCAAAAGCTTTTGGAGAAACATGGACACTTGAATGCAATTATGCAATTTGACATCCATGACATCCACCTAGCAACCTAGCACACAATCAAGTGGCTTCTAAGGAGTCTTCGACCAGAAAATCGTGGATATGGCAAGGCTCTACCGAAAGGATTCCAAAAGAAAGAATTTGAGTCGAAGTATGCATACTTACATCCATCGAGAAGGGCACACACTTCCAGTACCAATCTCCACAGTCATGACCCCCATCCGTTTTCGCGCTTCCAGACGCTACTCCGTTGTTGATCGACCCTGGCCGGTTCTACTTTGGAGTGACTGGGTAAGGCTCTGCATGGAGAAGTATGGAGGTGTCTTCATGCTAGGTGGTAAAACCTTAGATCACCTGGGAGAGATTGAGAACATGCTCGCAGAGTTTTGGCGTCGCTACAAGTATGTTGATGATGCATACGTCCCTTCAACACCAGAAAGGACTATTCCATGCTATGTACATGGTGATGAAGGACGTGGCCAAAAACAAAGACCAACCATGGTGCTGTCCTTCCAGCCAGTTCTCAGCCTTGCAGGGCCAAACAAGGTGAACTCCACTGGGTATCTTGGTACCATCTCAACCCCAATACTAGCTTACATGTTTGGGAAAGGGGTTAAGTTATGGTGCAAGTTTGTTGGTGTGTATCTCTGAGGCACACCTACACCACACGGTGCCTCTTTACCCTTTTGCCTGCAGAGCACTATGCCCCCAAACACAGAAGTCTTCACACGCTCATTGCTGAGATGGTTCGTGATGCCAATCAACTCGAAACTGAAGGTTTGGTGGTTCCTGGGTTTTGTTCAGCCAAAGCTTTGATTTACTAACATGCTTTCCAGCCTAGTAGGTCGGGGAAACTGATAGATGGATCAAGTGACTTGTCGTGACCGTCTTGTGAGGTGACGTGGAATGACCACCAAATCCAGCTCTACGTCAGAGTGATTGGAGTGAAAGGAGATTGGCCCTTTCTGAGGGCATGTTTTGGTCTTCGGACGGGGTATAGTTCGCTGCGGGTGTGCCACATCTGCACAGCAGATGAACCAAGATGTCATTAGATTAAATGTTTTTGTTTGATCTTGTTTTGCGTGGTTATGGTATTATGGATCTTATGTGCAGGTTGAGGGAGATTTGGCCGGGAGAAATAAGGACTGGCATGATCTGTCTGCCAACGGCTCTACCAGGAACTGGGATCCCAACTCAGTTGCACCATCACCATTCTGGCCAAATCAAAGGGCTCCCATCCGTGACCTTGCACGGGGCGCTGCAGAAAAATTCATCAAGATTGACTTGGCTCACACGTGGGCTATTGCCGGATGTGGCAAGGACTACCTTGCTTCGGTGTTGATTTTGCTATCGGTACACTGCCGCGTGTGGGGAGCTGGAAGATGGGAACAACAACTTGAGTGGGCCTTTGATTCCTTTTTTACCTGGTGCATTGAAAACAAGAAGACTAGCACAATCCTGGAATTTAGCAAGACAGAGCTAAAGCTTACCTCGTTACTTGCAAGCATGTTGAGGGTGCTCATGACATGTATAGGGTTTCCAAGAAAATGGTCCCACGACTGATTCCTCTAAGGTTGCAAGATTTCCCACGTGGTCTTGGCAAAGGGTCTGATGCAGCGCTTGTAGGGGCTTGGCTTGACACTGTCATGCGGCCATTGGATGCATCCACTCTACCAGACTCTCAGTGTTGATTCTAGAAAAGCTAGATCATGCAGTGTCCATATTCATCAAATCTGTCTCCGCCACAGTGGACCACCCTAGGAACAATGCCGGAGAATGTCCAAGGTTGCCAAATGGGGTGTACAACATGCCAACATCTTCTTCAGGATCCTCTACAAGGGGCCTCTATGGTTGCCACCTGCGCATGCTTCTCAAGCAATTGAGAGTGGGTTCAACTTGATGGACCCTACTGCGCAAGTAGATGAATTGTAGAAGCAACACTAGCTAAGACTTTCCTATAATCCAGCTCCCAGATCTGTTTAACTTAGGAAGCCTATGGAGCTTTGGCCAGACTTGCCAAAGACAACTTGTGGTCGTTGTTTTATCTCCGTCCTAAGTGTCACATGCTGCAGCATGTAGTGCAACTTTGATGCACATGTGTTGGAATTTTGTGCGAGTGCAGTATGATGCTTCAGCAGGTGTTGCTATGCTGAGGCTGGAGATGCAGTATCAGTTGAATACCGGTTCTCCTTACATTTACAACCCAGCTGGTTCAACCCCTAGATTGGATTGCATGCAGTATTTTAGAAATATGTTTGTGTCTTGGCTTCTGCCTAAGGCCAGGCATGCTGGGGAGATGAGGATTTCATTGGTCAGGTGTCCAGAGCTTCCCGAAAGCATAATCACCCTTTCAACATTTCGTACACAACCATGCGAAAAGTGTTGATAGAGTATCGCCACAAGTGGCATGAAGCTTTGCGGCTGCAAAATGGCAGCTGAGTTCCCAAGCGAGAAACCTGCTGAAGCTCGATCTCCAACTCGAAGTCAAAAGCCACGATGAAGTGTGTGTGTGTGTGTGTATGTGGACGAGGGAGCATGTGTTTGGGAAGGGAGGGTTCCATATGGTTCCATAAATCTACTCGAGCGTTTCTTATGAACATCGAGCGTTCTTAATTTTCAACGCGCAGAAATCAAGCAATTCGAGCAGAAACATACTCGAGCAGAAATTAATGTATCGAATGAGGTTATAGGTATATATATAAGCCTGGCAGTTGTGGAAACCCAAACGCAAGATGTGGCACAGATGAAACATGTAGGATTTCAAGGGGTTCTGGTTGTTTTGTGCAATCTGATGCCATTACAGGTCAAGAGGTACAACCGTTTGCGGGTGGACAGTGTAATGGCCCGTTGACAGATCCATGTATACAGAAAATATGGACCCCTGAAACAGAAACCACCCCAATGTAGTTAATTATGCATTTGGGAAGCGGTAGCACATAAGAGTGTGTCTTGTCCGTACATGGATTCTCTGACACTGCA